TTTTTTATCTTTTTGATTTAATATAGTGAAAATCTAAGATTTTACTATTAAAGGCCCACTAAAAGTTGGGTTTTTTGTTTTGTTTTGTTTTTCTCAACTAGTAAGGCAGTAACAGCTACTGCTTGAGCACATTTAGACTGTAGATCCTGAATTAGTTTGTTTTGTTTTTTGAGACAGGGTCTCATTATATAGTTCAAGATAGCCTTGAGCTCACTATGTAACCTAGGCTGCCTTAAACTCACTGCGATCCCTCTGCCTCAGGCTTCTGAGTGCTGGGATTACAGGTATGCACCACTATGTCTGACTAGACACTGGGTTTAGAGATGAAAGAAACAGGTTGCCTTTTTCCCTCCTAAATTTGAGTCAGGATTACAAGAGTGTCACATTCTTGTCTATAGCAACAAACAAGTGAAACTGGTTTGTTCAGGATGGGAAGACTAGAACTGGGGCTGTGATAAGTTTCAGTTTATTTATACCTTGAATCTTATTTTGAGGATCATTATAAAAGATCAGGTTGTTTTCTTTTTATTTTTTTTGGTCTTTTTCGTTTTTATCGGTACCAGGGATCGAACTCATGACTGCCTGCTAGGCACGCGCTTATGCCACTGAGCTAAATCCCCAGCCCCATTGTTTTCTTTTTAAATTTAAAATATAGGGCCTGTATGGCTTGTGTCTAGATGCCCCCCAAAACTTCATGCAAGTCATAGAAGGGCCTTTGTCTTTTGGGCATAGGAGTCAATCTACAAATGAAAATAGACTGTCAAGCTTAGAATTTTTTAAAGTTTTCTTTTTGCTTTTGGAGGAGGCAAGCTGATGATTTTTGAGATCTTTTTGATATAGGACATAGGGCATAGCAAAGTTGGCTGGGGAAATGAACTGGACCTGTCACTTATAAAATCCTAGGACAGTGCCAAATAATTCTCAGGATTCCATTTGTGGAATTTCTAGAAGATTCCCACGGGATATAGACTACATAAAAGGGATGAGACACCATGGGAGCCCACTACTGTGACTTCCCACGATAGCCTGTGCTGCATTTACCGGATGCAGCACACACTTCTCTTTTTTCTTTTATCTTTTTGTTTTCCTTTTCTGCCCAAAGTTTGCTCTGCAGAGCTGGTTTCTCCCATATTCATTTACCCCTCATTTTTCAAATCAACTTTTGGCACCATTTTTGGCTGGTCTTGTCTAATTCTTTGTTCCTGGAAAGAAAGACCTAAGAATACTTTTGATTGTTGAGCCATTTCTAAAGAAACTGCCTGATAACACTTTTAGGGCTTTTTTTTTCCAATTAGGTGTCCTAAGTATCTGATTTTTAAAAAGCACACTGTAATTTTTTTTTTTTTTGTCTTTTTCCTTTTCATTGGTACCAGGGATCGAACTCACGACAGCCTGCTTGCAAGGCAGGTGCTTATGCCGCTGAGCTAAATCCCCAGCCCCACACTGTAATTTTTTTTATTAATTTGCAATCCTCTCTTCCCTAGAAAGTTGAATACCTTTACTCTGACACTTTGTCTTCCTCCAAGATTTTTTGTTATGATTTTTTTGATTTTTTGAGACACAGTCTGGCTATGTAGTTCAGGCTGGCCCTGAACTCACTATATAGCCTAAAATGGCCTTGAACTCATAGCAATCCTTCTGCTTTAGCCTTCCAAATGCTGGGATTACAGGCATGAGCCATCACACCTGGCCTCCAAGATTATCTATATTGTAATAATTATATTTTTGTAGGAGGTTGGGACTTCTCCAACACTGCTTCTAAGATTTGACCAAACAAGTTTAGGCGCCCATGAAGCCCTGGGGCAATAGTACTGTCTAACACACTGTTTTTCTAGACAGGGTCTCATTAGTGCAGGTTGGCCTTGAATTTACTTACATAGCCCAGCCTGGCCTCGAACTTGTGGTGATCTTCCTGCCTCAAACTGCTGAGTGCTGGGATTACAGGCATGCACTATGGTTTTAAATTTCTGTTTATTACATTTACTAACATATTTTACATTGCCTGTAACCTTTCATTTTGTAGATTGTGTTTACATATTGTATCATTGTCAGTCTAAAGGATTCCTTTAACATTCCTTATTGTGCAGGTATGCCCGATTTTTAATGTAGTAAAATATATACAACACAAAACTGTCATTTTAGCTAACATATAAAATTCAGTGACATTAATTGGAATCACATGGTTGTGCAAGCATCACATTCTGAAACTTTTCCATTAATCTAAACCGAAATTTTGTCCTCTTCAAGCAAGTTTCCCATTCTTCCCTCCTTGAGCCCCTGATAATCTCATCTTTCTGTCTTTAAGAATTTGATTATTCTAGGTATTTCAGGCATGTGGAATCATACAATATTTGTCCTTTTATGATTGGCTCATTTTACTTAGCATAAAGTTCTAAAAGTTTATCCACATTATAGCACATATCAGAACTTCATTCCTTTTAAAATCTGAAAATATTGAATTATTTGGATATAGTACATTTTGTATGGCCATTTGTCTGTGTATGGCTGGTTGCTTCCATTTGGTTATTGCCAAAAATGCTGCCATAAAAATGCACAAACATGTTTCAGTTAACACTTTACATTCTTTTGGTTGCATACTCCAATATAGGTTTGTTGGGTCCCATAGTAATTCTACTTTATTTTCTTCCTGCATTGAGTCATATCCCAAGCCCTATTTTGAGACAGGGTCTCACTAAGTCACTAAGGCAGTGCTGCAAGAACTTGAGATCCTCCTGCCTCAACTTCAGAGTGCTTGGATTACAAGTGTGTGCCACAAAGGTTGGCTTCCCTATTTATTTTGAAATAGAGTCTTGCCAAATTGACCATATTGGCCTCGAAGTTGAGGTTTTCTTGCTTTGGCCTCCAGTAAACCACCATGCTTGGCTTACATTTACTTTTTTTGAGGAGCCTCCATACTGTTTTCTCTTGGCACCTTTTAAATTCCTCCCCATGTGAGTATACATTGGTGCAACCATTGTGGAAATCAGTGTGGAGACATCTCATAAAATTAGGACCAGAGGTCCCATTTGACCCCACTATTCCTCTTCTGAGTATCTTCCTGAAAGAATTAAAAACATCATACCACCATGATATACGTGCACCCATGTTTATAGCAGCACAATTTGTAATAGCTAGATCTTGGAAACAACCTAAATGCCCATCTACTGAGGAATGGATAAAAAAGATGTGGTATTTTTATACAATGGAGTACTACTCAGTGATAAAGAAGGATTACCTGGCGACTTTCATAGGTAAATGCATGCAACTTGAGACCATACTCATAAGTGAAATAAATAAGATACACATATGTAAACACTGTACTGTCTCACTAGTGAGAAGCTGAAAGAAACAACATACATTTATGAATATGTATGTATATATGTACATAAAAATAGTTATACTACTGATTTCTCTGAGTTTGCTGAAGAGAAAGATTTGTGTTGTTACTGTTTGGACAACTGAATGCAGATGTCTTATGCTCTGGACAATGTGCAATGGTGCCCCTGATTGATATGTTTTGAAATTTTATTTTCTTTTATCCTTTTTTCTTTGAAATAAAGTGGATTTAAAAAAATAAATTCCCTCATAAGAGAAATAAATCAAACTCATATGTGTAAATACCAAATTGTCTCCCTAGTGTAAGAAATGGTAAGAGTATATAAGATACAAAATCCTCAATAAATACAGTGAAAGGGTAAGAATCTGCTCAAAGAGGAAAAGTACTATCTCAGGGAAAAGGAGGAAAAAGAAACACGAAGGGAAAAGAAAAAATATCTAAATTTGTATAAACACACTTAGGATAGCTAAGATGATTGTGCTACAAATTCTACAAGTTTGTAGAACAAAACAGTTAACATTCATAGGATTGGAACAATTTTGATGTTTGTGTCTGGTGACCTGAGGAACTCTTGAAGATCACTATGTAAAATATCATCCTTAGTTCTGTTTCTACCACCTTGTTCTGAAGGCCTATATTGTCATTGTTTGGGGCTCTTTGCCACTGTTATTTACTTGTTTTTGTTCCCCGTTTTTTCAGTAATGTTTTGTTTTTCTAATACAGAAAGGATAGGTATACATGTAGAGGCTTATACATACCTAGAACTTAAACCTAAATACTTTACAAAAATTGATCATGTGTGATGAAACGAACAGCTTTGAAAAAAAACAGACATTATGGTACCCCTTGCTGATTCCGTATTGTCATGCTGTGAAATCCGGTAATGCTTTTATTTTTTGTTTCGAGTTTTGTATTGTTTAATTTCAACATACATAAAGGTATTTTGAAGAGAACAAGAGACATTATGGCAGCCAGTGTTGATTTTCCTATTATCTGGTTTTGAAGGCCTGTAACGCCTTCTTTACTCTGTTCTGATCAGTTTTATACTATTTTGCTTTGTATGAATTCATTGTGTGTGAAGATATGGACAACTATTTATAAGAAAACAAGAGGCATTATGGTAGCCACTATAGATCTCCTGTTGTCTTGCTTTGAAATCTGTGTCACTTACATTGTTTTCTTCTGATTTGCTTTGTTCTGGTATATTTAGTTTTACCTTTTTTAAAATAATAAAAAAATTATCAGGAAAAAAAAAATTCCCACCTGTGCACAAGGGTTTACACATTTAACGCCCGCTTCCATCCACAAACCAGTCCTGTCTTCAGAGGCCTGAACACATCCCTACTGTTCTCTATCATTCTGGCCACAAGAGTGTCAACCAGAACTTCCTTGGTTTAGGGTAACATTTACCCAAACCAAAAGCAACTAGCGTTCGGTTCTAAGCTCTACAGGTGTGCCTGAGGCCAGGTTCACAATGGGCCAGACGCTGCACTACCAGCGCCAGCTGAGCCCACGGACCCACTAATTCCTGCTGCTCCCTAGTGACGTCATCGCCGCTAGCTCTGCGTTGCCCCGCCTTCGCTGCCGTTGCTAGGGCGACGGCGTAACTCCGCAGTCGCCGACCACTGGCAGGTAATAATCTCAGCGCTGAGCTTTGCTGTCCCAGTTCCGCCCGCGGGAAGTTGTCGTGCAGTGATGACGTCATGGGGGTCTGGCCGGGCGTCGCGGACTCCCGAGATGGAGGAGAAGGAGCAACTGCGGCGACAGATCCGCCTCCTGCAGGGTGGGTTGGCCACAGCTGGCCTTGGAGTGCGTGTCCCCTTCTTTGCCCACCGCCTATGGCGGGCTCTCTGCGAAATTGTGGCCCTAGCCAGAGGTTTCGACAGCCGGCTGGCTGTGGCGTCGGTATGACCGGGTTGGGTGGGGCCGCTGAGCTTCCGGTGGGCCTGGGCCGGTCCCAGGCGGAGCTTCAGCGGCCCGCTGAAGCCTGAGGGGCGGAGGGGTGGGACGGGCCGTTGCTCCGGGACCGGCAGAAAGACTCTTCGCCTTCTCCCGGGAGGTTGTACCTGCTCGCGCCCCCCTTACGCCCCGCGCCGGACGGCCCGGCTCCAGTCCCCGGTCCGGTGCAGCCGAGCCGGGTCTGGTTGAGCGTCTTGTTGCCGTGTTGGATGCCCTTTCTCGGTTCATGCACTGAGGTCTGTGATTCCAGAACGATTCTCCAAACCCCATCTTTCCCCCCCTTAAACATTTTAGACCCATGGTGGCCTTTCCCTTTTTGGGCGTTAAGGAGAAAAAACCAAAAAACAACCCAATCCTTTCAAAGGTATTCCCACCAAAAGTAGACTTAGCTAGGATCGGAAAGCACACATGGAGGAGAGTCCAGGTGTTTCCTGTTTTGGGCTACTTCTTGGACTTACCTCAGGCTGGCTCTTTGTACGCCTGGACATGTGGCGACAGTGTTTAACGGGAGGGAGGCTGCCTGCTGGGCTTGTCCCTATGTGCTTTTTTCTTGTATTCCTAATCTGCCCCAGGACAACTGGGGGGGACTTCTCTGAAAACAGTGGTGGTGGTGGTTTTGTAGGAGATATTGTGATGGCTGGCAGGTCACTGGCCTGTGTGCCCAGTGAGGGTGCCATAGGAGTCACTTCTGTTACACTCAGTCCAAATGATTAAGGTGCAGCCCTGATTCTTCCCACCTGTGGGCAAGCCCTAATGCCTCCATGGTGACTTGTGTCTTTTTGTCCAGGCATTACAGCTTGGGACCTGGCTAGTCTCTGCATATGAAGTGACATTTCCCCTCAAAAAATGATAGACCCAGTAGGCAGGCAAATAGAAACTATCACAGTAGAGGTGTGTGTTTTCAGGGTAAACAGGCAAAAAAAAAAAAAAAAAAAAAAGTAGAACTGACAGTCAAAAGTCAAGAAAAAGACAGGCCCATGGGTTTGGGCTGAATGGTTGGTGGTTCCCAGGCAGCATCGACTGCCTCTCAGAAGTTCTCGGGAGTCTGGATATATGAAGTCTGAGGTATTTTGCCAGGTGATGCCCTTCCAGGATAGTTATGATTGCTGCTTTTATTCACATCCCTGGTTAACTGAGCTGCAATTCTGTCTTCTCAGATCTAATCGATGACTATAAAAATCTCCATGGCAATGCCTCTGCACCAGGCCCGTCAGTTGCTTCCCGATGGCAGCCACCAGCTTACCACAGTGGCAGGGCATTTGGTACCTCCTACCCTCGTCCAAGTCGGAGGGGATTCTCCTCACACCAGGGACCTGAATGGCGTAAGAAGTATTCCCTTGTGAACCGGCCCTCAGGGTCCTCAGACCAAGCTGGCAACCATGCTGTGCAGGCAGCCCTTGGGGACAGGAGCAGCCAGGAACCTGACTCCCAGCAGCATGTTTTTGAGAGACAGGTCCAGCTAAGTGCAGATAAGAACATGGTTATCAAAATCAAACCACCATCAAAGACTGGTTCTAGTAGTGCTTCACAGGCCCAACCCGGCTTTTTGGAAGAATATGAAGATACCCTTTGGAGTGACCAACAATCTCATAAAGCTGAGGGTGAGCCCACTGGTACACAGTCACAGCCTTCAAGGCCAGGAAGAGACAAGGGGAGCTGTAGTGTAGAGGACCCACTTCTGGTCTGCCAGAAGGAGCCTGGCAAGCCCCGGGTAGTGAAGTCTGTGAGCAGAGTGAGTGACAGTCACCCAGAACTCCGACGGACAGTCAGTGAGAGCGCAATTGCTGTCAAGGGACACTTCTCATCTTCTGCCTTGCCTCCTGGAACTGGTGTGGCCCTCCGCCACAAGGTGGGCCCTCATTCTGCACCTAGTTGTGGTACGCAGCTCCCAGATCAACCAACTCCCTCAAACTCAGTTGTGGCTTCAGCCCGACCAGCCTTAGGACCCAGGCAGACCCAGGAGCCCTCACTCCCGTTGTCTTGTCGAACCAAGTTCCGGAAAAACAACTACAAATGGGTAGCCACCTCAGTGAAGAGCCCCCGGGTTACTCGAAGGACCCTCAGTCCCAGAGCAGCTTTGGAGAGTGTGAGCAGGGGTGCTTTTGGCACAGCTGGAAAGACAGAGAAGCCACAGCCCAGAGCCAATCCAGAGTCCAAGTCCAGGAAGCCAGCCATGTCCTCCAAGCCTGGGCCCTCCCCCAGCAAGTACAAGTGGAAGGCCTCCAGCCCCTCTGCCTCTTCCTCTTCCTCTTTCCATTGGCACTCAGAGGCTGGCAGCAGGGATCATGCCTCTCAGCTCTCCCTAGTCCCATCTAGGTCCCCTCCAGAGGACACACCAGCAGTAGGATCTAGCAGCTTGAAGTCGCTCTTTGGGGAGACCCCTCTCTCAGCTTACAAAGTGAAGAGCCGCACTAAGATCATACGGAGGCGGGGCAATACCAGGTATGTATGTCTGGTGCTCACAGCGTTCTGTCTGGGTGGGCAGGAGTGGGGCTGGGACTGGCTCTAGGGTTGTGGAATTTAAGGCAGTTGTGTCTTAGCCTCTACCCTCTCCTTGGTCTACAGTGCCACCTCTAGGGAGGAGGAGTGATGAAATTAAGGCTCATGGTGGGTGTATTCAGTGCCTCTCTTCTGAGAAGAGGGGTTGGAAGAGGTTGAGGGCCAACAGGGTCATGGTTCACGTTTCTAGTAGAAGTGAAACCAGGTATACTGTTGTCATGTAAAGCTGTGTAAGGCAAGGCTCAGGGTGGCTCAGAAGCTTGCCCAGGCCTTAGCTAGGTAAGGATAGGGATCTGGCCTTTGTGGTGTTAGTAGCCCTACCCTTTTTTCTGTTGGTGGGAGACCAGGAGATTGATGGGCAGCTTTTCTGCGTCTGCAGGATTTGAGGATGGATGGAATTGTGTCAGGCCAGGCACTGGGGGAGCAGCCACTTTAGGTGGGTCTGTCCAGGGTATAGTGGAGGGGGAGGCCATGGGAGGGGCATGGAGCTGCTCCCTGGTCTAGAGTTTCAGGCCACACATTTGAGCTGGGTGGTGACTGGGGCTCTGGGAACTGCCCTGGGGTGCTGAGGCCTTGCTGCTGTGCGTAGTCAGGCACTCTGTCCATGCCCAGACAGATGGTGGTTTTATTTGTCTCCTCTGGACAGCAGCTGGATGGAACTGCTATGTGGTGGCTTCTTTTAGCTCTATGGCCCCACTTAAAAACTGCTTGGGGGAGGGGGTCCTGGTGGAACAGATTGGGAGAGGAAAGAGATGGCTGTGACCAGGTGACCGGCCCTAGCCACTGCCTTGGGAGTTGCATGGTACTCTTTGATCTACTCTTGCATAGTTGGAGACTCAAAGGTGACTTTGTAGACCAGAGTATTTGATTTGGGGGAAGGGATTTCATTAGGTTAGCAGCTCAAGGCAAATGAGACAGCTGCACTTGCTGAGGGCAGACTTTCTGCCTGTGCCATCAGACAATGGCACATGCCATCCAGAAGTAATCTCCTTGCTGTGAGTCCCCATCAGGAAGTTCTTTCTGCTATCTAACCTTGATTTTGGCTCCAGGTCAGCTGCTTTGCTGGCTCTGACAGATCTGTCTGAAGACAGGTGCCATCTTCAGTTGCTTAGCCTGCCTCCTGTTCCTTGAGGTTCCTGGAGGGTGGCTTTGCTTTAAATGCTGATAGTTTTATGTGTTCCAGGGAGCTTGGAGAGGGAGCCTTGGAGCATCCCTCTGGCAGGCAGGCTGGGGATAGTGCCTAAGACTGATGGTAGTTTGTCCTCAACAATGCTCTTTTCTCTAGCTCTGTGCAATGGTTCATCTGGCCTGGGCAAGGGGTGAACATAATGGACCCTGCCCAGGTTTTGGATTCTCTGGGATGTGGATTCATCTGCTTCTTCAGCCTGGCTGCAGAGGGAAAGGGAACAGCTAGATAATGGGTCTGATTCAGTGGGGATGGCAGGGTCATGGAAGGCACTCTGGCGCTTGGAAGGACCCTAGCTTGCCTCTGTATCTGTTCCATTTCCCTGTAGGATCTGGGTGAGGAAGAATGGGTGAGGGAGATAGTTGAAAGGAGGTGATCTGAGGGAAAAGAGAACACATGATGCTCAGCTTTATAGGTGAGAGTAGCAGTGACACTGAGCCTGTTCAGAGTCACCTGGTGAGCTGTTGGTATTTGCCTGCTGTTTGTCTCTGCAGCCTTCCTGGAGACAAGAAGAACAGCCCTTCAGTTGCCACCACTGCCAAGAACCACCTCAACCTGCGGCGAAAACAGGCTCTCCGGGGGAAGAACAGTCCTGTTCTGAAGAAGACCCCCAACAAGGGCCTAATACAGGTCACCAGGCACCGGCTGTGCCGCCTGCTGCCAAGTCGGGCCCACTTCACCACTAAGGAAGGTATGCCCGAGAGGAGGCACTGGCAGTGGGCTGAGCTCAACTATGAGCTGTGCCTCTCCTGGACCATGAGGTGTCCTACTTGTCATCGTCCTGCCCATACTGTCAGAGGGCCTAAACCCCTAAGGGATCTCTGCCTGATGGGTTGTGAGCAGCCAGACTAATGGATGGCAAGGGGCTAGGGCTGCCCTGTAATTGGGGTAGGGGGCGGGTATCTAGACAGGAGTGTGGTAGCCTTTTCTACTTATTCTTTAGTGTGTGCCCACATCCCTCCTGGGGGAAGTAAGGTTGATGGTCACTCAGACCTTGTACTACTAGGTCTACCTAGGTACTACTAGCGTCTGCCTTTCCTGAGGGCCTTTGTCCTTAGCCTAGGGTCAACAGGGCAGCCCCTCCTGTCCTGAGCCAGCTTGAGAGCTCAGTTGTACTCACTTTCTGAGTCACATGGTGCTGGGTGCCATTGGAAACTTGTGTGAAGCTGAGAGTCTTCTGTGGTGGCCAGATAGGGCCTGAGTAAGGGGACATGGTCCCTTTCAGGACAACCTTGTCCCCCACTGGGAGACGATGGTGCCAGGACACAGTGAGGAAGCCACACCCAGGCTGGCATACTTGCAGATCTGTAGTGACAGATCTGGAGGGCTTGGGATGGTATTCACCTTGCCATGGAGAATAGGATTTGCCTGGGGCCATCTGGTCCTGTGGCTTCCTTTGGGCAAGTATGCACAAATTTTTGTGAAGTTTGAAGAGGATAGGGTGCCAGTAGGACTGGATCTGGGCAGTCGCTTGAGTTTGCATTGGTCCTTGTGACTATAATTTGAGCATGGTGCTGGGGGAACATCCTTGGCTGCTCAGGAAGGCAGACCAGCAGAAGCTGGGAGGAAGGGTACTGAGACCCTATGTAGAACTGGTCCTCAGAGGGGAGTCTAGGGCCCAGCATAGTGATAAAAGGGGCCTGTACTGTTGCAGCCAAAGACATGAGGAAATGGAGTAGAAGGATGCTGGCCTCCTGGCCATCCTGTGTTGCTGACTCTGGCCCTCTGCTGGGGCCAATGTGGCTCTTCCCAGATGAGCTCGGGAGATTTCCGATGGCTGTTGTTAGGTTCTGGATGGGAGTGTGAAGTGATGGTGTGCAGGTACACTCTGGCACGTTGTGGGACTGGTTGAGGAGCTCTGCGCTTTGATGGGGAGGTGGAGAGCCAGTAGTGTCATACTGGGGCGAGGTGGAGGTGCTGCAGGGCTCCTGTAAGGCCAACCCCACTTGGTTGTACCTGTGACCAATGTATTTCCTCTTTAGGCCTAGGGCAGAGTGGGGTGCAGGCCCAGGGATAGTGTCAGCTGCCCTCTGCCAGCTGGGACTGGAGCAGCATTTCTGATGCCCCAAGGGAGCAGCCAGGCAGGGAGGAGTGTGGGGTCCCAAGGTCACCAGGTCCATCTACTGAGTGGGGTGCAGGTTTGGGTTGGGCACTTTAGGGGTTGAAGGGGGCTGCAGCTGCTCTCTCCACTAGGGTTGGGGGAATGAATAGCCTGGTAATTACAGGCAGATATGGTGATGGTATGAAGGTCCTGTAGGGGGAAGGGCTTTTGTAGGCCTTTCACCTACTCACCTACCTGCCTACCCACGAAGTACAGTTTGGGCAAGTACCCTCAGATGGTAGGCAGTGGGCTGGCTTCTGGGTATACCGAGCAGTGTTCTAGTGGAGACATGGCTATCTAAGTTCTTAGAAGCAGGCTGAAAAGATGCTTTTCAGTGGCAAATGTGCTCTGGGAGCATGGAAGTGGGAGAGTCCCCCTGAGGGAGATAGTTGAAAGGAGGTGATCTGAGGGAAGAGAGAACACATGATGCTCAGCTTTATAGGTGAGAGTAGCAGTGACACTGAGCCTGCGGCATTCTAAGAGCATGAGGAAGACTGTCTGACTGGGATGTTGTCTAGCATCAGGGAAGGGAATGAGGCTGGTGGTGATAGCGAACCAGAACATACGGAGGATTCTTACAGGTCACAGTAAGGAAAAGCATTGTTTGTTCCGGTCGTGTTGAAAGCACCACAGAAGAGAGCTGGGACTTGTGTCAGTGTCCTTAGGTACGTCAGGGCTAATGAATGTGGAGTGGGCCAGAGTAGATGTTGAGTCAGAGGATCCTGAATGCAAGGCCTGTGATGTTAGGCTCTGAAGGGGACAGAGAACTGTGGAAGTTGCACACAGTGGTTTGAGAGGCTGCACCTACATCGTGGTATGCTCACCTGGTTTCTTGTCCCAGAGACTGCCAGGAAGGCAGAGGCCACAGGGATGGAGTAGCTGCAGGAGGAGGTGGCTCGTCCAGAGCATCAGCTTGACGAGATGAATGAGGACAAGTGTCACCCTGGACTGAAGCCTGAGTGGAGCCGGGCTTGCCCCGGGAAGTAGACATGTGGTTTCTCTAGGCTCCCTCCCGCAAGGCACTCTTGTCTCTGTCCCTGCCTTCTCAAGAACTGTGGTCTGAGTTGGGTGTGGTGTACATGTTTGCAGTTCCAGGATTCTGGAAGGCTGAGGTGGGAGGATCAAGAGTTTGAGGAATGGGCAGTGTAGTGAGATCTTGTCTCAAAGAAATAAAATAAAACAAAAAACAAAACAAGGTCCGGGGCTGTGGCTCAGTGGGAAGGCTCTGGGTTCAGTCTCTAGTAACAGTGAGTGGGTGGGTGTGACAGCCCTGGCTGTTGCCACATGTTGAAGTAGAGCCCTTCTGCTTCAGGAGGTATGGAACCCAGGTTCCTATGGCATGGCCACTAGGCAGCAGAGCCTCCCTCGGGGCAGGACCTATGTCTTCATCTGGCTGCTTGAAGTCTTCTTTCTTCAAAATGCTCAGTCTATCTCCAGCTTTCTTCTTCCATCAGTCCCTGTAGTCTACAGAGCATGTGATTGGTGGGCTCCTATGCTAAGGAGGGAGGGAGAGACCTTAGGCAGCTGCCCCATTCCCCTCCCTGAGGTCTGAGTTCAGCTCTGCCATGTGGCCTGGGGGCCAGCAGAGGGCATACTTGCCCCTTTTATCTCTTAGTCCACCTCTTTCTGGTAATTGATTGCCTAATTTCCTCTTTATGTGAAAGAAAGCAGATATCAAGTAATTTGCAGCAATAACCTGCTAATGCTGGGCCAGTATCGAAACTCTCCTGTTCATTTCAAGTGGCAGATAAAACACTAATACATAATTATCCTTGCAAATTGGATTGTTTTAAATAACCAAAAGGCTACGGCCAGGAGAAAGCGATCCCATCTCCCTCGAGTTACTCTTGCAGTGTAATTGCCGCGTTCAATCAATTTCCCTGGCATTAGAAATTCCATCACAATCAACATTAAGCTTTATTCATTGTGATGGCTAAGAGCCGGGCCATTTCTCCTCTTTTTCTTAACTGGCAAAATTAATCAGGGAAAAGATTTTAAACATTTACCCGTGTGAAAGAGGTCAGCCCTGCCACTATATTGCTCAGCAGATAAGGGGGCTAATAAAAAGAAAATTGAATTACTAATGATCACCAGGAACAGAGTATATAAAACCTGGCAATCGCCAGTTCAGGAGAAGGGAGAATCAATTTTCTTGGGACAAGGTGCGCTCATTTTTTATTTTGGCGCATATTATCAGCAATTTAATTTGAGAGCGCATAAACAGGAGGAAACAGTTAGGGAATAATGAGCCCGGAGGTGTAAAGTGCCGCAGGATATATGCTGTACACAATTTATTTGGCACAACAGATAATCACTTTAATTGAATTCAAAACTGCATTGTTCAGCAGCGTTGGCTGCTCAGCCTAGGGACTGAGTGTCAGGAAGGTTCCAGGCTGACTGCCTCCCCTCGAGTCCCTGCCTTGTGAGCCCTCCTGAGAGTTCTCTGGCTAAAGCTTGTTTGACTTGGAGTTAGACTTTGACTGGGTGTCGGGGTGGAGGTGTCTGGATGTCCCCTTCTTGACAATGTATATCTTTCCTTTCCTTTTCTCCCAAGGAGGAAGGTTCAGGTTTGAGGTACTCCCAGAGATGGGCCAGAAGAGCTATGTGAGCTGGTGTGCTGCAGGGTCCTGCCTGCTCTGTTTCTCAAGGAATGCACTAGGGAAGGCATTTGGGTAGAGGAAGCCAAATCTTCAGGAATCTCAGAAACGGTGTCCATTTGTTATACCTACAACTGAAGAAGTCTGAAGAAGTCAGTAATCATGGTGCGACTGCCACTGGTCTGGGTTGTGGTGGTGGTGTGGTGGGTGCTGAGGAGTGCAAGGCCAGTCCCGAGGCTCATTCTTCTGAGGATATGGCTTGGGTCCAGTGCTGTGGCAGCATCTGCTACCAGTCTCTGTTTCTCTTTGACCAGGTCCTGCCCATTCTGGCCAGGTCCTATTTCCTTACAAAAGCTATGTGTCTGTGTTTGTCTACCATTCACTGATTGATGATTGGTACTGGATCAGTCTTTATACTGAGTTCTGCCAACCCTTTTTATTTTTTATTTTGGACACGCTGTTACTGGGTTATCCAGGCTGGGTTCAAATTTGGGATCCTCTTGCCTCAGCCTCCTAGAGTACAGGGATTATAGGTTTGTACCACTATGCTGGATTATTTGCCTACTTTTGCAGTGTTATTTCCTCAGAGGTCCAAGGCTCTTTTCATTCAGGCATCGGCTGGATGCTGGTGGTTAACCTCCCCACCCCACTTTCTTTCACGTCACTCCCTAGCTGCCCAGCTACCTTGAGCTTCCTGTATTTTATTAGCTGCCGTGTGTATTACTCATGCTGCCCCATCAGGAAGGTGCTTTGCCTAACCCTGGCACTTGGGTAGGAGCCTCCTGAGGGGCAGGGCAGAAGGGAGAACCTTCCATCCACGCAGAGGGCCCTGGCAGGAGAAGACCCCACACATGTGGGAAGGTCTGCTGCAGGGTGGGCAAGGGTGGTTCTCTGTGATTCTGTCACCACATATGTGGGGATCCCTGTTGACCTCCCAGGCTGGCAGTGTCTGGCCAGTGTGTGGCAGGAAGCATGCACTATGTTGTGTCCTGG